CCCCTGTTCAATGCGACTAAGTAAAAATGGTTTACGTTCTACTATGACAAATGCTCGTCGTTCTTATTCGTAATCTTGTTGTTAATAATTCACAATCACGCATAGATTATGAAAAACCTGGATTTCGCCATGATGGGAGGATAGTACTGTAATGTAACAGGGTGGCAATTAAAAAAAAAATTATATAAAATGTATAACGGATTTGAAAATAAGTTAGTTGGTTGCATTGCATACTCTTTGTTTCTAGTTATTTTATTCAAAAATTTTCAGTTTTGAAAGTTAATTTCGACATTTAAAAACATTCATTAAGTCATATTACGGTAGCTTGATGCCGATCAAATAACTATTAAAAATTCACCAAGATTCGTCAAATATCCGTAGCTTCCCCCACCGGTGGCCCCTAGGCGGCTGGCCCCCTAGCCAATTGAGGCGTGCTTCGCTCACACCTAGCCCTTTAGCCCCCTGTCGGGCAAATCCTGGTGTCATCACTGACTCCTTCCCACTCCCCTCCGCTGGGCGCCACCACTGGTTAGGCCAAAGCGTGGGCCTGGGAAAGACTGCCCGAAGATAACTGCCCCGGAAAATGAACCTGCATGACAAGATGACTCCTAAAAATTACTGCGGATAAAATTTGCCCCAGACAAAACAGCTTTGATAAAATTGAACCCCTTCTTAACAGAGTGTTTTGGGTATAACTGTGACCCTAGATGGTTTCCATCTACACATTTTTGTCCTTGCACAAAAGAATCAAAATACTGAAAAAACAATCTTTCAGAAAAAAGCACTGTTTAATGATTAAGATGATCTTGTTAGGCGGTCTTATTATTCTATAGGAACATTTTTAGTCTCATCAGTTGGAACATCTTTTCTTGGAAAAACTTTTAAAACGAAAAAAGATTATTAAGAAGGGGATAATCGATAAATTCAACAAGGATTTGTATAGCGCAAAATCCACGGCAGAATGCAATGTTCAGTGGCGCTATGACAATTGTATTAACATGGAGTTAAGAATAAACAAAAATATATTCGTTAGTCTACGGTAGGCCATTTGGGTGTTTTCGAAAGCTTAGGAAAATGATAACGAATACGGTTACGGTATGTCATTAAATTTTTAGACAACCATTCCCCTATCAGTACCATTATAGGTGTGTCTATTACAACTTTGGCGATTTATGCCTTTTGCATAAATCAAAGATCAAATTCAGCTCGTACACGTATTGTCGAGAATATTGTAAGCATAATGATAATGATGTATTCGTATTTGTTATCGTTTTGATACAGATGAGAAGATTGGTTGGTATTACAAACAGATGGCTTTTTGCAATAACTACTGTACATGTATGAAGAACGCAATCCTCCCAAAGTAAGTTTATCAGTAATTTTCAACGCTGAAAGTTTATTAACCTTGCAACTACGTCTTCCTGCTCCGAAGTTTCAATTTATAATGTCGGAATATCGCACTACATTTTAAAAATCCTTTACCTTTGTTTCATAACTTCTTTAAGGCTATGGTTATTTTATTGTATTTCCATTTATGGTTGTTTTATTGTATTTCCATTTTTATATTCTAATATTATGATTATTTTTAAATTTTAAGCCCACATATTGTATTTGGATTATTAATTCAATCATGGAGGTATTTTTTAAATCACATTACGATACCGACTTCAGAGACGAACCGACTTAGGAGTTTCCGACTTATATTCATAGCGCCCTCATCGCTATAATACATGTTACGAATCTGCTCAAACACACAAACAAACATGGCAGCGTGCACACAAATTGAAAAGTAGAGTATGGTTGTGAAATTATTGTAACTGTCCAGAGATGTTAAGACGTTTTAAGCCTTATAGGCGATTGGCCGGAGGTCCAAAAGAAAGGATAAATTTGCTACGTGGTCTAATCAACCACCTCGTAAAGTATGAACGACTTGAGACTACATACGGGTTAGCACACGAGACACAGAAATATGCCGAAAGGGTATGTTGCATGTAGGAGTGAGAGCAGCATGGATTGCGTGGCGAAGGCCTAAGCTAGTGTAGTGGTGGATT